ATCGCATTTTAATGAAGAGGCCTTTCAGGATGTTGACTTTGAAGCAGATCCTTGCGCAAAATTTCCCAGGGGACTGGTACTTATCGGTGGATCTGAAAGATGCCTACTTTCATATCCGAATAGCCTCTCATCACAAAACGTTCTTGAGATTCATGTTTGAGGGGTGGCTTACCAATATACAGTCCTCCCATTCGGACTGTCTCTGGCTCCGTGCACTTTTACCAAGTGCATAGGCGCGGCTCTCTCCCCTCTGAGACAGACAGGAATCCGTGTCATGAACTACCTAATGATATCTTTCAAGGGTAGCATGTGCAGGGAGAAAAGCAATGGTCCTAGTATTGAGCCTTGCGGTACTCCATACTGAACTTGTGCTCGAAATGACATCTCTTTATTTACTGCTACAAACTGATAACGGTCAGATAAGTATGATTTGAACCCTGCCAATGCAATTACACTAATGCAAACATAATTTTTGAGTCTATTCCAAAGAATGTGTTGGTCGATGGCATCAAATGCAGCACCAAGATCCAGTAACACTAATAGAGAGATACAACTACCATTGGATAAGATTAACTCATTTGTAACTCTAATGAGAGCAGTCTCAGTACTATGATACGTCCTAAAACCTGACCAGAAATCCTTGCCTTGCAGATACCATTTCTTTCTAAAGAGGGGCATAGTTGTGAGGATACTGCCTTTTCTTGTATCTTTGACAGAAAAGATAGATCTGAGATAAGCCTGTAATTGACTAATTCTGTAGGATCAAGTAGTGAGTTTTTAATAAGAGGTTTAATAATAGCCAGCTTAAAAGTTTTCGGTATCCTAATGACAAAGATGAATTAATGACATTAAGAAAAGGATCTATGCTCTGGAATAATCTCTTTCAGTAGCGTAGTCATATAGGGTCTAACATGTTGTTGATTATGGCAAGCAAGGTGGGGCCGAGGGCCATTATAGAACAGCACGAGGCCGGTGGCGTCATTGACGAGCACCAGTCATCATGCACCATTCTCATATCTCTCACGGGGGAGTCTCAGAAGCAAAAAAGGACAGTGAAGGACGAGAGAGGACCAGGCCTGGACTATTTATGTTATGTTTTGTTTATGTGTCTGCGGCAGCGAGGGACTCCTGCCTTTACTTTCGTTTTGTGTTTGTTTATTTTGGAATTAAAGTTTGTTTGAACGTTCGCCGGTTTCTGCCTCCTTCTTCCCACAACAACTAACTTTGTTACATTGATTTTGATGATAACGAGTTTAGACAATTCTTCCAATGAATGAATGAATTTTTCCTCAGGGACACTACAATGCACTGTCTGATGCGAAACTGTAGTAGACAGTTGCATGGTTATAATTTATAATCTCTCTAATATTATCAATCTAGCAAGTAAACAAGTTCATAAAGTCATTACTTCTGTGCTGTTTGGAAACATCTTTAGTCAGAGCTTTATTTTTCGATAATTTAGTCACTGTATCAAATAAATACCTAGGGTTATGTTTGTTTTCTTCTAAGAGAGTCGGAAAAATAAGCAGATCTAGCAGTTTTTAAGGCCTTTCTGTATGCAATAAGGTTTTCTTTCCACGAAATGTGAAAAACTTCTAGTTTTGTTTTCTTCCAGCTGCGCTCCATTTTTCTGGCTGCACTCTAGACACCAAGTGTGCTCGTTGTACCACGATGTTGGACTATTTTCCTTAAACTTCTAAGGAGCAACTGTGTCTAAAGTGCTGTAAAAAAGAGTCAATAGTTTCTGTTGCAACATTAAGTTCTTCTAAGCTATCTGTAATGCAGAGGAGTAGAAACTGATCAGGAAGATTATTATAAAGCAATCTTTAGTGGTAGAAGTGATAGTTCTTCCCTATTTGTAACAGGAAATCGGCTTTGTGGCCTTGGCTAAATGGAGTATACACAAGACTAGATAATGTATCTGAGATGTCATTGCTCTGCTTCAGAATTTCAACACCATCAACATTGATTCCATGTGATTGTCACACAACGCTCAGGAACAGGTAAAATAAACTTAGGCTTTATTTATACACGGTATGCAGACTCCAAAATAAAAGGTAAAGCAAATGCTCAGAAGATACTTAGGAATACCAAAAATGTCTCTTGAAGATTACTCGGGAACCAGGGACCAGAATTGACTGAATAGGGTGACTGAGGCTTTTATGCAGCATGAGTGGCGATCATGAGGAGACGAGGTGCAGGTGATAATCAGGGAGAGTGCGTGCTGGTGAGGATCCAGGGGAATGCTGGGAAGTGTAGTGCGGGACAGGACCAGGGGAAACCGTGACATTACACCCCCCTCCCGGAAGGCGCGACCTCGCGCCTAAACTGAACTGTGCTCCACGGTGGCATAGCTGGAGGGAGGAGCCATGGGGAAAGACAGCCGGCAGGTCTCATGGCGATGACAGGAAGCGATGACAACGTGGAAGGCGGAGCCCACCGTGCCGCCGGAGAGCCAAAGGAGTGACAGGACACAGAAGACCTCAGAGACCTCGGAGACCACGACAGAGCCACAGCGACATCCCCCCGAGGTGGAAGCAGGGATCCGGAGGGCTGAGGTTGAGCAGGAGTGACCGAGGGCAGAGGTGGAGCCTGAGGGAGGGCGGAGCAAACCGCAGCCGAAGGGGTGGAGGGCAGGAGAGCACTGAACGACCCGCAAGTCTGCAGCGAAGGTGGTGTGATGTCCGACCCAGGTGGAGCCGAAGTTCCGAGGGAGCCCGGTGAAGCCGAATGTCCGATGGTCACTGCAGACATCGAGGGTGGATGGAGCATAGGCGTGGGAGTCAGGGAGACGGGTCGAAGTGGAGTGGAGTGTACAGAGGCTGGAGGCGAAGCCACGGGGTCCTCACGCCCAGGGTGAGATGACCCCCAGCTGTCCAGCAGTGAAACCACACCACTGAGAGGAGGCAGAGGTGGAACAGAGGGGCTGATGGGGGGAGGCAAAGATTGGGCAGCAAAAATGGTTGGGAACTGGGAAGGAGCTTGAAGGGCCAGACAAACATCATCCAAACATAAAACAGTATTTTGGAGAGGTGGTGGGAGAGGGAGGCTGGGCGGGAACAGAGAATCCGGGACATGACAGACAGATTCAGAAGACAATGGGGCAAATAAGTCAAACTCTCCAAAACACTGAAAGTTTCCCTGTGCTGGAACCAAAAACTCACTCTCAGTGGCGGGAGGGGCACACTTCCATGCCCTCGAATTCCACTAGAACTCCCTCGGCAATGGATGGTGCAGCCGGCTCACACACTGGGTCAGACGTACGATGCTCAGGCTCCATCGCGGTGTTCAGCTCGGTAGCCCCTGTGGGCGCTGGCTCAAACGTTGCGGTGGAGTCTCTCACGTTTTCTGAGGTGGGCTCTTGTTGTCGACCCACACGGTCTGGGTGGTCTTGGTTGTGCACTGCTTCGGCTGGCCAGATGAGATGCGCTGGTTCGGCTGGGCTGGTGAGGGGAGTTGTCTCGGAGGAACCGAAGCGAAAGGGTTCTTCGGTAGGGCGGGTGTGGGGAGTGGGTTTGGTGGATCCAAATAGAAACGCCGGTTCGGCAGGGCGGAGACGGAGGATGAACGGAGTGGGGTAGACTTGCGGTGAAGGAAGAGGTGCTGGGAATCGAAGGGCGTGGAGGAAATCCAGTAGAGAGTCCTGCATTGTGTGTGGTCCGATCTTCTGTCACACAACGCTCAGGAACAGGGAAAATAAACTTAGGCTTTATTTATACACGGTATGCAGACTCCAAAATAAAAGGTAAAGCAAATGCTCAGAAGATACTTAGAATACCAAAAATACCAGAAATGTCTCTTGAAGATTACTCGGGAGCCAGGGACCAGAATTGACGAGATCGGACCAGGAGTGTAGGGTGACTGAAGCTTTTATGCAGCATGAGTGGCGATCATGAGGAGACGAGGTGCAGGTGATAATCAGGGAGAGTGCGTGCAGGTGAGGATCCAGGGGAATGCTGGGAAGTGTAGTGCGGGACAGGACCAGGGGAAACCGTGACAGTGATAATATTAGATCTTAAATTAATTAGGACAATGAGTGGGTCCTGACACGTGTTGTCTAACTCCAATAGAGTTTAGAATGTCTGTTAATGCCAATCCCAATGCATCCTTTTCATTATCTACATTGATTTTAAAATGACAAAAACTAGAAAATCAGCTAATTATTTGATTATTTTTGAAGTCTGTATGGTGCCTTGGTGGCCTGTATACAGTAGCCAGCAAAAATGTAAAGCAGGATTTTATCACTTACACTAGATAGCGTTACATAAAGCACCATCACTTCAAAAGTATTATTTGGAACTAGACTTGAGTAATACTGAAGCAACACCTCCCCCTTTGCCTTTCAGAAGAGTCTCGTGTTTATAACGGTAATCTTGGGGGGTGGACTAATTAAAAAAAATGTAATTGTCTGGTTTTAGCCAGGTTTCTGTCAAACAAAGCACACACATCTAGGTAATGATCTGTTATCATATAATTTACAATAAGTGCTTTTGAAGAAAGGGATCTAATATTCAGCAACCAAGCTTTATCATTTGTTCATCTGCATTATATCGGTTTTTAATTTATTGAACATCAATACATCAATTTGTTTGAGAATTTTGGGGAACAGACACAGTCTCTATATGATGATATTTGGGTGAAAGAGTCTCTTTGTGTTGGTATTTATCGGACCTCAGTAACGTGACACAGCTAGCAGACGGTCGGATAATAATACCATCTCTTTTTAACAAGTCAGGTCTGAAGTCAGCTTCACATTCTCTATATCTACCGCCTCGGTGGAAGGCAAGTATTTCAATTCAGTAGAAAAATCACTCCTATTCATAACATAAGGATCACGTCCAACATATGTTGTGATTTTCTGTTTATACAGTTCTAAACCAGCACAGTACTTTCCTCGTCCATTTTCCATCTCGTCCATTTATGAGGTCCATCTGACCCCCAATTATGAGGTTTTAATAATATTCAATACTTAATAAGTTAATTAATTAATTAATTAATAAGTAGGCAAGGCAAGGCAAGTTTATTTATATAGCACATTTCATACACAATGGTAATTCAAAGTGCTTTACATAGAAGAAATTAAAATAATCAAAACAAATAAGAATAATTAAAACAGTTTAGAATAAAAAATAAAATAAAATACAGTAAAAACAGTCAGACGAACAGTGGCACAGTGCTCATACAGTAAATGCATAGCTAAACAGATGTGTTTTGAGTCTGGATTTGAATGTAACTACTGAGTAACTACTAAGTAATTAATAAGTCACCCCATGAGAAACAGAATGTTGTGAGTTTAATAAAGGAATGAGAAAATAAGGACAATTTTGCATTCTTTATTTTGTACATTACAAAAAAATTATAAAACAAAATTGATATCATGAAAGCAGTTCATATCTAATGAAAGTAGCAGGCTGTTTTAAAAGGCAGGAATCTCAATGTGAACACGGTATGAGTGATTCCATAAAATAAAACAAATAAAAGCACAACCCAGGATGAACCCTATTTCTCACAAATCCCTTTTCTGACGGCGGCGCATGGGAGATCATTCCAGTTCTGGAGAGGAACTGAATAATACAGTTCAACACAATCCTCATCACCTGCATTATTCGGCTCACCTGAGTACCAAAACCTGAATAACATGTATCAGTTTTGTTAATTATTCAGAACCCCAAAATTCATGAATCAACAATAATCAAACTAGCAAAATAAGCTGGAGTAGAAATGAAAGTGCAGAAAAGTAAAATAGAGAAGAATAATATAATTTATTTAGGAAGTTGATTTGCTTGTGATGGTTGATGTCATGGAGGAGTTGTGTTTTCAGACACTTACTGGTGGTTGTGATGGATTTTTAAAACAAGAATAAAAATACTAAACAAATAAATACATAGTTTTTTTTAGCACTTACCTTAGATTAAGTGCTGAATTATCCACCCATTTCATACTGCCCTCCTGCTGTATGTCATTCAAACCAATCCACACATTATCCCTGAGTATTGAGGTTATGAACCTCTGTGGACAAAAACAGGAATAAGTGTGATTCCTCTCATTCATTAACAAACCATTAAACCAAACTCACCTGCTTCACTTCAGTATTGAGAATGATCAGATCACCACCACGATCCTTGCAGTACTGCCTGCTGTCAAACCAGTTCAACGGAGGGGTTATGAAAAACCAACCCAACCGATTTCCTAACAGAAACACACTTTTCAAAAAAATGTATTCATCAAAGAAGAAGGAAAGTAAGAACTTACACAAAAACAAAACTGTACTTACCTTTATCATTTACTTTCTGTAGTTCATCAGTCAGAGATTTGACTTTGACATCTAACTCCAGTTTCTGCTGATTCAGAGAGTTTAAACTGTTCTGTAACTGGCTTTTCTCGGCAGTGAGACTATTGACTCTGGTCTCCAGGTCCAGTTTATTCTGATTCAAAGAGTCAACGCTTCTCTGTAACTGGCTTTTCTCAGCAGTGAGACTATTGACTCTGGTCACCAGCTCCAGGTTCTTCTGACTCGAAGAGTTTAAACTGTTCTGTAACTGGCTTTTTTCAGCTGTGAGGTTATTGACTCTGGTCTCCAGCTCCAGTTTCTTCTGATTCAAAGAGTCAACGCTTCTCTGTAACTGGCTTTTCTCAGCAGTGAGACTATTGACTCTGGTCACCAGCTCCAGGTTCTTCTGACTCGAAGAGTTTAAACTGTTCTGTAACTGGCTTTTTTCAGCTGTGAGGTTATTGACTCTGGTCTCCAGCTCCAGTTTCTTCTGATTCAAAGAGTCAACGCTTCTATTTAACTGGCTTTTCTCAGCAGTGAGGCTGTTGACTCTGGTCACCAGCTCCAGGTTCTTCTGACTCGAAGAGTTTAAACTGTTCTGTAACTGGCTTTTCTCAGCAGTAAGGCTGTTGACTCTGGTCTCCAGCTCCAGTTTCTTCTGACCCAAAGAGTCAACGCTTCTCTGTAACTGGTTTTTCTCAGCAGTGAGGCTATTGACTCTGGTCTCCAGCTCCAGTTTCTTCTGACTCAAACAGTTGAAGTTTTTCTGCAGTTGGTCTTTTTCAATCATTAGATCAGTGTTCTTGTCCTTTAAGCCGTTGATAGTCTGATTGAACTCTTCAACTGTGTTCGAGTAACTCTTTAACAGGTGTCTCTCTGCTGTGATGGTGATGTGCTGCAGTATGATGTAGGCAAGTAGAAGAGCACAAATGAGCCCAAGACACACTGCCAATAACACCAAACACCAACTTCCTCCTGACAAACAGGGAGAGAAAACACACAAATATCAATTTAGAACAATTCACTCCATTTTATACAATATAACTCTTAAAATTAACCTTCGTAAGTATAAGTGTTCTTTTAAATGCTCTTTTATAATGACAATCATCTGAAATGAATATATGGTAAAAATGCAAACAATAACATATGCTGCAAAGAGAAAAAATAATTCTGCTAATACATTTCATATTTAAACATTGACATTGTTCTTAGAGAACAATAATTGAAATTTTATGTGAAATTTCTCAGTTTCTCAAACATTGACACCATCTCTGCTTTAGAATAAACTTTACTTACTCCTCTTTCGTGTTTTTCCTTCATCTTGGTGGTGACCTTCAGGTGTGCCCTTAATATCGCTGTTTTCAAATTTTACAAAAAAGATTTTAGAATCCATTTTTTTGCACTTACTTACAGTGTCAGTACAGTATGTGTTCACAGATCATCTGTGGTATTTAGAATGAGTACAGGTCATTTATATACTGCTGACCTGCCCATTTTTGCGGAACCTGTGCAAAAGGTTTAACAACGCCTTAAGACCTTGGTTACTTGGAATCTGCTATGATGCTGTTCAATTAGTTTTTTTTTTTTTTTTGCACTGTACTATAGCTATACTCATTGGAGCAAATATGAAAAATATTACACAAACAAAAATGAACTGCAAAAAAAATAAGTCATGGTAAGGTAGCTACAACTGTAGTGTATGATATATTATTGATTTCATTTAATTGCATATACTGTACTTGTAGCTACCTTACCCTGACTTATTTTTTTGCAGTTCATTTTTGTTTGTGTAATATTTTTCATATTTGCACTGTACTATAGCTATACTAGTTGGAGCAAATATGAAAAATATTACACAAACAAAAATGAACTGCAAAAAAATAAGTCATGGTAAGGTAGCTACAAGTACAGTCTATGCAATTAAATGAAATAAATAATATATCATATATCTGCTGTGTTGTCATGTCGCATTTTGAGACCTGACTGAAGTCAAGTCAAGTCACCTTCATTTATACAGCGCTTTTAACAATATAGATTGTTTCAAAGCAGCTTTACAGTGATAATAGGAAATTAAAGTAACAGAGATTTTTTGGCTTTACAGCAGCTCTAGAATAAAGTTTGTTTTGATTGATTTAGTGTTGTTGCAATGATCATTAGTTATTAAGGGGCCGCTAACACGACACCGTTCTAACAGAAAACCCTTAACGCGCTCCGGCCGCTCATTCGCACAACAACAGTGCCTGGTGGCTCGAGAATGCAAACCTTGAAACAGGTTCCAAGGTGCATGCGTTGAAACATTTTGAAGCGCATTATCTCCGCTCAAAGTGTACGGCGTGTCAAATTGAACCCTTAAGCCCAAATTTAATCCTTAAGGCCTCATGGTCTTCATCCGAGTTCACACTTTCGTGATGTAATGCCGCTTTGACTGTCTGCTGTAGAGGTCGTGGGCTCTGTAAAAGTGTGCATCAAGGGCACATATCGGCTGCTAAGGGGACGTTTGCCAGTACGCTTCTGAAACCTAGAATTAAAAACACAATAATCGACACCCAGCAGTCTTGTAGACTAAACGGACATGCATGCGCGACAGCCATTGTAAGTCCACAAGACCACAAGAGCACGTGAAGTACCATTTGGGACAGGGTTAATCAAACTCGGTCCTGGAGGGCCACTGTCCTGCAGAGTTTAGCTCCGACCCTGATCAAACACACCTGAGCAAGCTAAGCAAGGTCTTCAGGATCACTAGAAACTCACAGGTAGGTGTGTTTGATCAGGGTTGGAGCTAAACTCTGCAGGACAGTGGCCCTCCAGGACCGAGTTTGAGGAACCCTGATTTTGGAAATGCCCTTCATATAGGCAGACTTGCTCCCTTGATCAAAATCAAGGAGTCGAGGGTCTGCCCATATAAACTTTGGCAATGGGGATTCCCCCGAGGGGAAGTGTTTATAGGGAAGTTTTTGTGTGTAAATTTAAAGTGAAGGGTAAGATAAGATATTTACATGTAAGTACAACTTGCACCAATCATCCTGTTCAAAAGTCCCCGGCTCTAAATGCATCATGTGTTGCCATCTTCAGCCTATAGTAAATGTTTGCAGCTTTTGTAATAGGTGTACATGAGTTACCCTCAATTGTCCTCAGTGTGAAAAGATTTATCACAGGGTTTGTAGAGCAGTATTTAATGACCTATAGCCTTTAGCAGCACTTTTCTCCAAACTGTGCGGATATAAATATCAATAGTTACTGGATAGATATATATTTTTTTCTATTCAGCCCTATATTTGTGCTGTGTCTCAATTCAATCCTTGCTTCATCCTGCAAAGGCAGCATTCAAAGGCCGATTACGATTACGAAACCCCTCCTATCGAACACAGATGAGCCAATGGCAGTTGAGAATCAGTTGCACTGGGACCGGAACTCTGACATCTTTAGGTTTCAGCGCCATAAAGAAACATTGGAAGATCCGAAGCTCGGCGTTTGATAGTGTTTATGCTACGAAAATGGTAAAACGATGTGGTGCCTGGGCTACTTGTAACACCGATTCCAGGTATCCTGAGAGGATGGGCAATGGAATTTATTTTATTCCATTTCCTAAACCCAAACAAGACAGAGCAAAATGTCTGCTTTAGATTAAACTGTGTATTAATCCAATGATGTTGGCGCAGTAACCTGGTTCCTTAAAGGCTTCAGTTAAGAGTTTGTTATGCTATAAAAATACCCTGTAAGTTTCAAAACTCAAAACTTCCTTGTTATTTGTTACGTCACAAGGGACGTATGTGTGTTTTATTGCTGTTGTAGTGCTTGTCTCTGTGTATTGCTCCTCCCACTATCCACTTCACAGGTTTGGGAGTGCCTCCTGATTTGTGTTCCAGCTCGTTAAGGTGTGAGTGGAGTAGAGTATATAAGAACCCAGAGAGGTCCAATCCAAGAGAGAGACTGAGGCTTTCCTCTGAGAGACTGTCAGTGTCCCAGCACTTGTTGGTTTCATTGTGTTTGTGGTGCCAGTTATAGTGGTTAAGTGAACGTTGAAAGAAGGTATGCCGTGTGCTAACTTCTATATGGCAACCTTGTGTTTCTAGTTAACGTCATCTAACTGGAGTGTTTTTCTTTTAAGTTAATATACTGGTTGGTTGTTTCTTTATTGGGATAATTTGTTGGGAGGATGATGCCATTTTATTTGAGAAATAGTTTTCTCCTGTGTAATATAGAGAGGAAGTAAGGGAAGTGTTTGTCTTTTGATTTATTTTACTTTTGAAGCTAGGCAAGTTATTTCTAAAAACCTTTAGTAAGAATTTGTTTTGTTTGTTATTTTGGCTGTTTCCCCTCCTGAAGTCCTATCTTTATATCCCATATGTAAAAAAAAAAACTTGTGAAATCTTTTTACTTTACAAACTGGTGTATTGGTGTACTTTGTATTCACTGGTGTCCTTGTAATTTGTGCTTGTCCTGGGACCTGGAGACAGGGGTTCTCTCACTCTCTTCCCGCAACTTTTGTTACATTACTTTCCTGCCCCTAGACCTGAAACGGATCGTAACATATTCCAAAAACTGCTTTTATTGAAACCAAGGCCAGCAAACAACCTCAAAAGTGGAGACTTGTGACATCACAGGGCAGCGAAAGCCCACCTTTGCAGAAGAATATCAACGCCTGTCGCCTACGTCTACATCACCGCGTCTTTGGCTCGGCCCACTGGATCCTAATGCCAGGAAAGTAGTTTTTTTACAATCTGAATGTCTCTGCAGTGCATTATTTGTTAGTATTCGGTTCACTGTGGATTATTTAGTAATTCGGTCGCAATTTCGATGCAGGCTTTGCCAACAGACTTTTACTATATGGCTCTGCCAGCAACGATTTCTGATGTGTAATTATTCAAGTTCACATATAATCTTTCTCTCAAAATCGTTCAGTACTGTTTATGCATCAGTAAATCAAGTCAGTGACTAAAATATCAACTTCACATCGTTTCTCTTAGTAGGATGAAAATAATCTTATTTAAACTATGATTAAATTATATACAGAAAGCGATCAAAGAATGCTCCTTTTCCAATCACCCAAGCTGTCAATCACACAGCGCAAGTTTATCTGGACACTTGCCAAAACTCGTTATGAAATCAATGACGCTGTTACACTGCAATACGAAACTCTTACTGTATTATCGTTTGCATTGTTATTTTGTGAAAGCATTCGTGAAAGTGCAGAAATTGCGTTGCAATGATAAGAACTCTTCATTCAAGCGATCAACAGACTGTCTTTCAGCTCAATGCTCATCACTGCAACCTTTCATGTGATGGAATGTTTAAATATAATGCTTTAACTTAACCAGCGCCCCATTTTTTGAGAATTTTCTGAAAATGACATACCCAAATACAAATGTCTGTAGCTCTTAAACCCTATGGTCCACATTCATAACTCTGATCTTTTTTTAAACTAGACACTTGAAACTTTGTTACCCAAGAGTCATTATTACTCAAAGTAGCATAGGAACAGAGTAAAACAAGGTAAAATTTACATGAATGTGACTCACGATTTCTTTTAATTAACTTCACTTAGGGAAAAAATGATCAGACTTTTATGTTAAGGGCCTGAAAACACCATAAAGATAAAATTGAATGTCTGACCATGTTTAGATTCAAATTTGAGGATGATACTCCCAAAAATGTAGCTTCTGTAAGCTTTTATTCAAGAAAAGTATAGGCGTCCTTTCCAAAATGCAATTTGGAGACTCCAAATGGACACCTGGCACCCAAACACTTTACATAGGGAGTAAACACTATAGGTCTGCAACAACAATTCAGAACTGTTATGCCCTTCAAACCACACAAGAAAAAAACGATTTCAGCACAACATTTGAACATTTTACCAAAATTATCTTTATTTTGAACAATTCTAATAGCAAAAACTGTGATTTCTCACTACATGTATAGACATTGCAGAAGTGTTCATTTTCCAACTAATGTATAAAATATATAAAAAGAAAAACATAAATGTTTTAGAACATTTGTAATTACAAACGTGGTTTTTACCCAAATAAATTGCAATAAACTGATACTTATAATGAATATCCTATTACTTCCTGTTGCTCTTCGTCATTTTCTGCAAAAAAACCTTCAAATCTCTTCTGTAGTCGACGATCCATGATACAGATGCTCAGATATAAGCTTTAGAGTAAATCCGTGCATTTATGCAAGCTCCATGTGTCAAAACATCGCGTTTATGTGTCTGTTTACATTCTGGTCGGCTTACTATGTGTGTGCGTGCTGCGCGCGTGGCGAAAGCGCACATGTGAATGAAAACTTTGCGCAGTTGAATTTGACGAATGTGCTTGCATGAACTGTCTATCACTGCAATCGATTTTAGTTGGCTAATACTCCCATCAATCAAAACGTAGCTCAAAGGACATTGGATAGCATTATCCAGGCTTTTATCCAGTCGAAAGCCCAGCTGCGCGATGGACAGCGCGCTCAGC